AAAAAATATTTCAGGTGTCATCCTTGGAGTAGTCTGGGTCTGTACCTGGGATCTCAAGGCACTGCAGCAGCTCTTAGGACAGTCTGGGACAAGTCTGGGAGGAATCTTGGTCATATCCCAGAGAATAGGCCTTTATTCAGGGATAAAATACGTCTGGGTATCTTCCTTGGAGGAGTCTGGGGCTGCTACCCTAGATGAGGCCTCCCTAAAGCAGAGCTGAATAGGCTCCAGGACATGCCTGGGAGGGATCTTTGGAGGATCGTGGAGATGGGAGTTTCTCAGAAGGTAAAAAGTATTTCAGGTGTCATCCTTGGAGGAGTCTGGGTCTGTACGTGGGATCTCAAGGCACTGCAGCAGCACTTAGGACGGTCTGGGACATGACTGGGAGGAATCTTGGTCATATCCTAGAGAATAGGCCATTATTCAGGGAGAAAATACGTCTGGGTATCTTCCTTGGAGGAGTCTGGGGCTGCTACCCAGGATTAGGCCTCCCTAAAGCAGAGCTGAATAGACTGCAGGATGTGCCTGGGAGGGATCTTTGGAGGATTGTGGAGGTGGGAGAATTTCTCAGAAGGTTAAATTTTTTTCTGTTACATCCTTAGAGGAGTCTGAGGGTGCTACCTGGGATCATATATCCCTGCAGCAGGGCTCAGTAGAGTCTGGGACATGTCTGGGAGGAATCTTGGTCAGATCCAGGTAAGAAACCATTATTCAGGGAAAAAACCATCTGGGTATCTCCCTTGGAGAAGTCTGGGATTGCTACCCAGGATTATGCTTGCAAAATGCCTGCAAAAAGACACAAGAATATGCCTGGGTGGAAGTGTGGGATGATGCTGAAGCCATACTCTTTCTTTCAGGAGAAAACACATCTTGGGTGTCTCCCTTTGGATTTGTCAGGGGTTGCTGCCTGCAATGTGATGACCCAAAACCAAAGCAGAGAAGAGAGCAGGAGATGCCTGTCAGAAGGTCCGGGTGCATGCTGGAGATGAGTTTTCCCCAGCAGGTAAAAAATATTTCATGTGAGGTCCTTGGAGACTTCTTGGGCTGTACCTGGGATCTCAGGGCCCTGTATGAGCGTCAGGTCAGTCTGGGATATGTCTGGGAGGAAACGTGGTCAGATCCCTGAGAAAGGCGTTTGTTATAAAGGAGAAGAATATGTCTAGGTATCTTCCTTGTATGAGTCTCTGGCTACTACCCTAGAAGAGGCCTCCCTATAGCAGAGTTGAAATGACTCCAGGATGTGCCTGTGAGGGATGTTTGGTTCATCGTCGAGGTGGGAGTATATCTCAGAAGGCAAAAAAATATTTTAGGTGTCATCCTTGGATCAGTGTCATTCTGTACCTGGTATCTCAAGGGACTGCGGCAGCACTTAGGACAGTCTGGGACATGTCTGTTAGGAATCTTGTTCATATCCTAGAGAATAGACCATTATCTGTGGAGAAAATATTTCTGAGTTTCTTCTTTGGAGGAGTCTGGGGCTGCTACCCAGGATTAGGCCTCCCTAAAGCAGAGCTGAGTAGGCTCCAGGACTTGCCTGGGAGGAATCATGTTTGGATCGTGTAGGTGGGAGATTTTCTCAGAAGGTGAAAAATATTTCAGGTGGCATCCTTGAAGGCGTCTGAGGTTGCTACCTGGGATCTTATATCCCAGTAGCAGCGCTCAGTAGAGTCTGGGCCATGTCTGGGAGGAATCTTGGTCACATCCCAGAGAGGAGGCCATTATTCAGGGAGAATAAAATATCTGTGTATATTCCTTGGAGTAGTCTGGCGTTCATAACCAGCATTAAGCTTGCAAAATGCCCGTGAAAGGACACCGGAATGTGCCTGCTTGTAAGTGTGGGATGATGCTGAAGCTAAAATCTCTGTTGAGGTTTAACCCCAGTAGGGATCTCAGCCCCACTCATCTGCTTCCTAATCTCCCACTCTGTCCCCCCCTGGTGGATGGGGAGGGGAATTGGAATGGTGAAAGTGCAGAAACTCATGGGTTGAGATCAAGCCAGTTTAACAGGGAAAGCAAAAGCTGCACACACAAGGAAAGCAAAACAAGGAATTCATTCACTACTTCCCAATGGCAGGCAGCTGTCCAGCCATCTCCAGGAAATACGGCTCCTTCACACATAGTGGTGACTTTGGAAGACCGAATGTCCCCCCTTCCTTCTTCTTCCCCCAGTACAACTTATTAACTGTGGTGCTGCATCCACCTGCCTTGTGGAGACCTCTGGGATATCCCTGGATTCTGGCAGTGTAATTAAATATCCACTTTTTCATGGCTCAACTGCTCCCTTACCTGTGAAAAGAAATGTCAAGAAAAATGGTTTTGATTACTAATAACAGAGAAAAAAATTTCTATCTTTGGGGATGTAGAAATCAGGCCTTCTAATAAATTCCAGGCTCTGGAACAAAAATCCATGAAGTGACAGCAAAATGTAGTGCTGAAATTAGTGGTATGGAGCATCTTAGAACGAAATCGTTCTGTGGCTGCTTCAGTGGTTTCATGGAGGATGAAATGTGTGATCCCTCTCTGTGTGGTCCTACCTGTTTTCCAAAAAAAAAAATTTGAAATCTGGTATCCCATTTCAGCCACTCCTGACAAAGAAACAGAGGCTGAATAGCATTACTTTGTGTCCAGTTTAATGAAAATAAGGAATCATATAGTGGAGCATGAGGTCTTTAGCACTCCTTATCAAGGAAATGAACAGTGCATGAGACCAAAACTTAGAAATCACAGAAATCACATGAGAGTTAAAATTTTCAGGCTCATTTTCATGAAAATTTTTTAAAATCCCGTGCTATTTCCACTATTCACCTGCATTATTTAGTGTCTAAAAGATCTAAACACTGAGTAAAGGGTAAATTATTTTTTTTGGCCAGGACACACTGCTGCCATAGAAAAAGATTAAATAGCAGTATCATATTTGTCAGCAAATAAAGTCTTGTCTGTAAACACACCCTTTTTATTAATTAGATATTTGGTTACTTGAAAATGGTGGAAATTATTTTATTTGGTTTTGCACTGAGGCACTGTTGTTTCCTCTACCCAGTTTGTTGGGGTTAGTTGGGGGGAGACCAGAGGAATAAACTAAATAAATAATTTTTAAGACATTAATTAGGTGGGGAAAAGGTTCTGTCTTTATACTGATGTGTGGTATTCTTTGAGATGAATGGTCATTCTTTGAAAAATTATTTGGATTAACTGAATCATTTGGTGAAATAATGTTAATTTCATAATTCTTTTAGCTGAATAAACATACAAATTAAAATAAATGAGTAGAGGTCTCTGACATTCTAAAATCAAAACCAGGATTTTTTTTTTTTAATTTAGAGTAAGCTCCAAAAATTTTTGGTTTGCAATCTTTGAGGACTTTCAAACCCTTAGATCTGAAGAGACCAAGAAGAGCTTCAAATCTAAATGAAACATCATGAAAGCTTCCAAATGTGGAAAAAAATTATCAGGTATAACCACATTTGACTTTGACTTTAAAACCAACACTTTTCCTAATTTTTCAGTAATGAAAACTGAACACAGTTATTTACATGGCTATATTTGCACATACTGAATAAATATCACTGGGCATAAAATCAATTTTTCTTCTCAAGTCCTAAGGAGAGTACATCTGACCTCTGCCTGCCTATAGGGATCTCACACAGAAATGCTTGTACATCTTCATGACTACTGGAAGTAGTTACAGATTTGGGAATGATCTGGCTCACATTGAGCTCAGTGACTTTTTTTTTTTTTTTTTCTCTGCATAATGTCTCTGCTTCAGAGACAGAGGATGGAGGGAATGTGCCCCTGACACAGGGCAGCACACAGCCAGGGGCAAACCTCCTTCACTGGGAAAGGTCAGTTTAGGTCCAGACCGAGGAGATGGCTACTCTGGATTATCTTCCAGTATGGGTGAATGCTCTGAATATGCATTTCTTTGAAAGGGGAACTGCCCCTCCACAAACCCACTGCATCCTGCCTCATTAAGGGCTGTCAGAGAACATCTGCAAGCCCACTAGGAGCTTCTGAGAAAGATGTCAAAGAAATTCCAGCGTCAAAGAGCTGTCAAGTTTGGGGTCTGAACTGGACATTACTATGAGGAAGGCTAAAATTCCCTCAACCAGGAAGGCTAAGTGCTTCTAGGAACCAAAAGACTAATTAAAAACGGGGGTGGGGAGTGTTTATGGATTTCTGTCCCTTTCTGCGCAGAGATTTTTTAATTTTTTTTTTAGAACTGTGATTTGGACTTACGTACTTAGTTTTTCTTTGAAATGTAATTCTGTGAAACATACCTGAGATACTCAACTCTGGTGAGGGGACCTCAAGTACCCAGCCTTGCTCCCATTAACTTCTCATGTCGTGCTTTCCACTAAAAGACCAGAGCTCTGCCTTCAGCTTAGAAAGCTCAGCCCCAGTGGTACAGTGCTCCTGCAAGCCATTCAGTAGCTCCACTCCAAAAAAAAAAAAAAAAAAGGAAAGACCTGTAGCTGCAATACTTTAACAAGTTCTTTCGAAAGAGCAAACCCCCTTTTATTCTTGACAAGACGTGCTTATAACACACCATGGTATTTCCTTTGATTTCTGCCTCTTCGCTGACCCTCCCGCTGTTAGGGTGTGTGACACTAGACGGAGCTGTGGATCTGCTGAAGGCACCAGGCTCCATCTCTCCTTCTGCCCGCAGAGGGCATCCAAGCTCTTCGCAGGTCCTGTCCTACCGGAGGATCAAGAAAAAGTTAATTCAGTCTTGGAGAAGTCGGACAGGCAACAGGTTTGATTTAGTCCCTCTGACTGACGATGGTCTTGGGGGGTGGGGGAATTTTCTAAACTGAGTCTTGAGCAATCTGTATTTTTGGAAGTAGGCAGAGATGGGGACAATCAAGAGGTGAACAGCAAAGAGCTTGTGAACGTAATGTATTTGTGATAAACGTGGCTTTGGGATGCTTTCCCAAGCTTAAGAATTCAAGATGGGAAAGCAAAGACAGGATTGCTAAAACCAGGGCTTTCCAGAAGCTGCATCTTTGCAGAAGTGTGGGAGGCAGACAGATCCCTCCTTTTTGCTTCCCACCACTAGCATGGCAGGGGTCAGCCCTCAACTGCCATCCTGATGCCTCTGATACTCCATCCTCTCTTATTTTTGTCATTTTGTCCACCAAACTACAGAGGCAATTCATGCAACTATGTGGTTTGCCCTCAGCTCCTTCACCTGTGCACAAGGTCTCATGAAATTCCAGGTACTCTCCCAGCCAAATATTGAGTCATCCCAGGACTTCCCCATTTCAATAAGAAATGTGTTTACCTGACCGCAGCTGCTTATCACTCAGCTCCATTTCTGGTCTCCCTACGATGCAGTTAATAATAAAAGATAAAAAATGGAGCAGCTTCAGCAAAGCAGACACAAGGTGATCAAAGCTTCCAGGTACTGTTCTAATAACAACCTGCATGGTGATAATAATATACAAAATGACAATTCTATAGCAATGTTTAAAATTTATTTCCTATCTCCAAAGTAAATTAGACAGATGCATTTCTCTCTGTCAGATTACAAAATCACCGTGAAAAAAATTTAAAGGCAGATGACCCTACTAAGCCATACACTTTGTGTAGTTATCTAGTATATAAGCTAGAAAAAAATACATGTCTGTGTGTTTTTATCGAAGTGTTTGCACACATTTGTACATATTTACTTTTCATTGAAGATAAACTTTGCCATGTTTTCTCCCTATTCAGTCTAGAAACAGCAGTCACTAATTAGAGGGTATGTTTGTGGAAGAGAATTAATTGACTCCTTACTACTCTATCATGAAAATAAACCTAGGCAAATATGACAGTTGAAGACTTTTGTTTTTCCTTCTCATCTTTTTTGCAGTATAATTCCAATTTAATTTCTGGAATAATGAGTAGGAATTCTCCTTTTGTAGCACTCAGGATTATTTTTTTTTTCCACTGACTTCATATGCAACTCTCCCTTAATGAGATCTAACAGGCCTCACTTTGAAAAGGGCGTAATTGTGAGTAACTTTGACTCACACATCCATTATCTGCTTTGTGTGTGATGGCAACATTAAAAACCTGACCTTGTTCAGCAGCAAGTTTGTTTCCAGCTTTAATGAAGAAAAGCCTGGAAACAGAGGTGATATCTTTCATTAGAATGGCAAACACAGTGGAGAGAAACAAAGGTTTTGAATACGTGCCCTTTTCCTCAAGTCTGAAACATCAGTAGCAACAATGTTCAGCCTAAATAGAACCTGGGGACAATTGTTCCATGTTTAACTTAATTGTCTTAATGAGCCTTGATGCAGAAGCAGGACCTGGAAAAAAGGAAAAATCATGATTCTCTGTGTAAATGTCTAGGCATTTCTTTATTCACTTGCTGGCAAACTAGATGCCTGGAAACTTTGTTGTTTTGTTGTTTGTTTTTTGTTTGTTGTTTTTTTTTTTTTTTCCTAAAGTGTGTTAATTTTTGTTTTCTATTGCGAAAGGATGACATCATTAATCTTTTTAGATCAACTGAACTTTGGTCCCCAAGCCTGGCCTGCAGGGCTGCTTTGTACCAATCCAAATCATATTTACATTTCTATTATGTAAAGTCCTTTGGACAAGGAAATAAT